GCTTTTAATTGACATCAGTCACGTGTTTCCGCCGGAACGGTTTCGGTGTGACACCGGACCATGAAAGCTGAAGACCAAATTACTCCGAGCCGAGAAAACTGTGTTTACACCAGCTGTTACTGGTAAATTTGTTTATATTATCTGTCTTAAAGCGATATAACGCAGATATAATTGCACACTTCATTTAATTATTTAACATTTATGAARTTTCATACAATAAAAATATCAGTAATGTATGAAACAATACATGAACTAACAGMTAAACCATGCTATTCCTGTAAAGTCATAACTATGAAATTGCAGCCTCGACCTTTATTGATTTATTTACTTGTTTATTTAGGGTAACGTTCCCAAATTTTACATGACAGCAAACCAGGATAATTTTCGTAAATATGTTTAAATGTGCTGTACAGATTTTAATATAACATCTTTATAATGTCTCAGTGTTGAACCCTGTCAGTAAATTAAATCTGCTTATCTTGGAGTCAAGCTCTTCCTATTTCTTCTTTGTTTTGCAGTGAAGAAAATGTTTGGAAGCTGTGTGAGTTTGTTAAAACAGAGAGAACTGCTTCACTGGAGCAGCTGTTTGTGGTTTTCATCTCTAATGACAACAGAATGGTGAGAAGATACTGCTGGGACAAAAACATGCAAATATCTGACAGTCGTTGCTAATAACTCAAATAAACCAATACGTAATAACATAAACAACCTAATCTGTTGTACTGTTTTCATGTGTTTATTAAAGCGGTTAACTATTAGTGATTAATTTTAAAGTTGATTTGATTTCTCGAGGTCATTTCAATACTTGTGTGTTTGCTGTTTAGAGAACTGATTGAATAAACCACCCAGTCTGGATGATCAAGACTGGGCTCAATCAAATATCTGAAAAAACATCTTTAAGTGATTAAAAAATCTTCATATTTTATGAATCATCACTGGGATCTATAAAAACATCATGTTCTGTAAACCTTCAAAAGTGAAGCAGTATTAATGTTTCTTCCTGTGTTACTTGAACATTATTTTTGTCTGTTAGCAAAATATCTCATGAAACACACTTTCAGAAAGTAATCGTTGGGTCCACAGCTGAATACACTTAAGAATCAGATCAAGATGGCCACCAACGGTAACTGACCTTTGGCAACACAAACATGGCTGTAACTCAGTCACTTAAACAGATATTGAGCTACRGTTTGGTGTGGTAGTAGCTGAGAGTCATCCTCAACACATACCCTGAATGCTTACACCTCTTGTAAGGTTTCACATTATTGCGTGAGATTGTGCGTAATGTCGATTACATGRTTTGACCAGAACGGTTACTAATTTGTCGTTTCTCAAGCTGAAGCCCTAACCTTTTTAGTTTTAGACTTAGATTATTTTATGCTAAATAAAAATTAAGATCTTTAATGTTTATTAGAAATATTTTGTATTTTTAAAACCACCTTTCTTCTCCTAAATCTAAAAATCCGTGATGTTTTCTCTTAGATTCCTCTGTGGAAGCAGAAGTCTGGACATGGTGACCTGCCTGTGGTTTGGGTCTGTGATACTATATTTATATTCCAACAGTATTATGATGACATCATTAACTGCCTCACTGCGTGTTTCAGGATTACCACGTGATCCTGCTGCAGGTGGGTCTTCAGTCGGACTCGATGGTTTACGACCTGGACACGGAGCTGCCGTTTCCCTGCAGCCTGAGGCTCTACGGCGCTCAGGCTTTCCGCTCAGACCGCCAACTCAAACCTGAGTACCACAGGTAAAAACGGCTGAGCCCCGAAGGCGACGCACCTGAGTGAGTTCGCCGTAACATCTGCATGTGTCTGTGACAGGAAGCTGCGCGTGATTCCTGCAGACAGTTTCCTGTTGAGCTTTGCGTCTGATCGGTCTCACATGAAGAACCCCGACGGGACCTGGAAGATGCCCCCTCCCTCTTACCCCCCCATACAAACCGAAGGTAACGTAAAGTTTGGCTTGTTTTATAATAAACACATATAAAAATTATGACGTCATCTTGCTATGATGTGTTTCCTCCTCAGAGTGTCAGATGAACCTGGACGACTTCATCAGCATGAACCCTGCTGTCGGCTGGGGGACCGTCTTCAGTCTGAATCAGTTTCTKCAGAAATATATAGGAAATCCAGCATCATCATCTTCATCATCTGCATCTCGTTAGGTGCCATTTTTTTATTTGCTTATTTATGTTTTTGCTCCAGACGTTCTTGAGTTGGAAATGTTGGAGTTTCCTTCAGGTCATAATGAACATTTAGTCCAATCTGACCAAGAGATAAAGACTTAACAACAAACTTTAGTTTTTGTGTGGAACTGTGAGACGACTCAGCTCTCCTGAGCTTCACTACATTCATATCAGCTCATTTAACCCGAAACACAACGATGCTCAGTTTAACAATACTCTCTGCACAGATCAGCCCGGAAAATAAAATATTTATTTTTCTGACATCACCTCTGTAATTTTTGTCATACTCACTTAACTGTTGGTCATGTTTTTACCCTGATCTTTGATTCAGACATAATAAAAATAGTATTTTCTTTTTCAGTCTGCRGCCTGACTCAGCTTTCCCTTTCTTTAAATCTGTTAAATCAGCCTTAAAGAATATTTAAGATGAAGTTAGCCWGCTACTGAAGCTTGCTCTAATGGAAACATTTAAATTTGTTCAGATTTTAAAGTCCAAATTCTTACTTGATGTTAAACTTTAAAGTTCAAATGAGCTCCTTTCATCTGCAGGTTTGTTCTTCATGTGAATAAAGAAAGAGAAACTGTTTTGAAGTTATTTTAAACCATTGCAATTAAATAGAAGATGGGTACAACTTGTTCAGCTACAAAAACACACCTTTATACAGTTTGTTTTACAGGAGTGGTTAGTAAGACATGTTAGTAATGAGGAGGATCAAGTGTCTACTTTCAAATCATTTACTGGAAGAAAGAGAAAGGCAGCTGCTCAGCATATTTCARCCACAAAGCAATTCAATTCCACCCCAATTTTCCTGTCAGTCCAGTATTAGAACATTWATTCAACTGAATACACTACCAAGACAAGATATTTAACGTTCAAGCAGATTAAATTTAAAGTCCTTTTTTTGTGAATATTCATGCATTTTGAWTTTGATGCTTGTAACAAGTTCTAAAATAGCTCAGACATGGGCAACAAAAGACTGGAAAAGTAAAGGAGTTCTCAAAAAAACCCACCTGTTTGGAGCACATCAGGTTAATTGGAAAGTGTTGAGTGCAAAGTGAGCATCCCCGAAAGGCTCAGTCGTAGGCCTGTCACGATAACAAATTTTGACRGATGATAAATTGTCTCCAAAATTATTGTGATAAATGATAATATTGTTTGGAGACCGTTTTAATGTAATATGGTGAAATAATCTCCCTCCTATTTTTACAGAAGTTGGAAATTTACGTAGTGTAAAACAAAAAAAAATTGCAAACCCAAGGTTTGGCACAAATGACAAACGTGTACTGAATGCATGCTGCTACGATGCATTTGTATTAAAACAAGCCATAATAGTTCAAGCTTACCAGATGAACATCAGTATCAGTAGCTCAGTATTTTAAAGGGGCAATATTATGTGTTTCTCAGGCATATATTTAAATACTTTACCATAATAAAGTATCTATGTCACCAATAGTTATTAAAATGCTGTTTTTATGTTTAAATAGAAAATAAACTTATCTTCTCATCACTTCCTCTTCTAAAAACCTTGAAATTGGCCTCTGTCTCTTTAAGAACCTCCTTCCGCTCCTGCCCCGTCACTTTATACACACACACACACACACACACACACAC